CCAGGAAGGCACCCAGAGCTTCAGCCGGGACTTGGAGCTGGGAGTCCTTGAAGAGCTTCACAGCAGGGAGAAGCCCTACAAGTGCTTGGAGTATGGGAAGAGCTTCAGCCGGCGCTCCAACCTGATCCGCCACCAGTGGACCCACACTGGGGAATGGCCCTACGAGTGTGGGGAATGTGGGAAGGGCTTCAGCTGCAGTTCGAGTCTGATTGTCCACCAGCACATCCACACTGGGGAGAGGCCCTGTGAGTGTGGGGAATGTGGGAAGACCTTCAGTCAGAGCTCCCACCTCATCTCCCACCAGCGGATCCACACTGGGAAGAGGCCCTATGAGTGTTCTGAGTGTGGAAAGAGGTTTCAGACCAGGTCCAATCTCCTCCTGCACCAGCGGATTCACAGGGATGAGAGGCCCTTCCGCTGCCCTGAATGCGGGAAGGGCTTCAAACGCAACTCTCACCTCATCAGGCACCAGCGCATCCACACTGGGGAGAGGCCCTACGAGTGTTCCCAGTGTGGGAAGAGCTTCTCCACAAGCTCTGACTTGACCCGACACCAACGGAGGCACCAGTAAGGGAAGTTCCATGAGTGCCCTGACTGCAGCAAATGCTTCGTCCGCTGCTCCAACTTCATCCTCCATCACAGGACCCAGTTTGGGAAGAGCCCTGGTGACCCACATTCCCAGTGATCCACATTGGGAAGACACCTGTCCCTTTCTCTGCCCCTGGGACTGACGTTAGCTGGGATGGAAGAACATGAGGGTCTGGCCATGCCCCTGTCATTATATCTGATCCCATCTCAGGTCATTGCCAGCGACAGGGAAAGGGACTCTTTCCTCTCTCCTAAGGGAAGAAGGATGTTCTTTCTGGGCAGGAAAAAATACATGATCAGGAGGAGCCCATGGGTGCTGTGGGAGTTTTGCATGTAAAATGTTTGTTTGAGTTATCCCTTCTTTTATCAACATTGTTGCTGTTCCTGTTGGTTCCTTATCTCGTTGCTGCTCCCAGTAAATTGCTCTTATCCCAGCCCGGGATCTTTGCCTTTTGTGCTGCAAAATGACAGCCTGCAGGRACAGAGGGACAGRGBAGGGACAGCRTGGGACAGCCTGGGCTGGAGGGGCACAGGGATGGGCAGCAGCTGAAAGGCCCTGACAGAGCCAACTCCTGCAGCACTTTGGCCACTATGGCTGCTGGCCCTGGCCTGGGGCCAGGAGGGGACAAGTGACCCTT